AGAAACGTCGGCTTCGGTCGACAGACCATTACAACTGAGGCAAACGGATATAGAAGGTACAGACGTCAAAAAGGATAATTTCAAAGTTGCTCCTGCGTCTAAAAGAGTCAAGTCAAAGGAAGCGATGGACAAAAAGGCAATCTGTTATTAACAATTCAGGAATTCGAGAAAAGTATTCGAGAGAAGTACTATCCCCAAAACTTTTTGAAACCTTGCCAATCAGCTTTCTATGTATCAAGAAAGTACGGCGTTACGGTTTTATAAAGTCCGGTGAAAATATTAACGGAGATGATGATAGTAGTCTTGTGTCGTTCGTGAACGACAATAGTTCAACGAGTCAGTCTACTGAACGAATGATCGACATAGTTCAAAGTTTATTATTGTCGTTCATTGAACGATTTTGTTTACCAAACGTCGTCGGTCACTGAACGACGTTGCTCCCTGAACGACGCAGAATTTTAATTTACACCTTCAGGGTCGGCTTTGACCAACTGATCGGCGTTAAACAAGATCAACTTCATTTAAAATCTGACAAATTGAAAAAAGACACTCGACACTCAGCATCAAGTGGCGGCTAAAGGCCTTCTCAAACTTTAAACGCGTTTTTCTCTAAACATTGTTTTGCGAATGGCGGGCACGATAACTCAAAAACTAATAACACAATCGATTGCAAATTTTTACAAGTTTCTCTGGGAGTGTATAGCTATCGTATGAACTAGGATAAAGCCAATCGCTTAAGATCTTCCTTATTTTTTAACTTGGTTTTTGGTCAAAAATCGTCGATTTTCCAAAAATATTTTTTCAATGGTCCGCCATTTTGTTAATTTTAGAGCGAAGTCAATTCCCTAAATGCAATACCAATTGAACTGAGTAATCATTTGAACGATATAATTCAACTGAACGAGGTGAATGACCTAGTTCAATTTTAAAAAATGACCTAGTTCGTTCGATCACTGTACTGAACGAGATGATACGGAGGTGCTCTGATCCGAGGGAAATGAGGGATTGCCATCATTTACCAGGCCTGAAAAATGTTTTCTGGTAGTGAATAGAATTTCTTACGGGCATTCATAATCGTGCTGCTTGCTAAATTTTTATTCCAAATAATTTCACTCTAGAAAATTGAGTTTCGCAACACTGTGCCAGCTCATAATTCAAAAGTATTATAATACGTGAGGTCTCTACCTCCCGCCTTATACATTCGTTTATTTTTTATTTTGCAAAATTCCCTTTTTTAGAGGTACTCACTTGCAATTGTCATAAACAATATTTACACTATGTTTACCGTCGAATCGTGATGTCAATTTCAATTCAATCGAAATCGAATGCAAATCGAATGAGTAAAGAAAATATTTAATATTGCGAAAGATTGATTTAATACAAAGCGATGAATCAATATTCCAAAAATACTTGAAATTAGTGATGATACAATGAATAACGGATAGATCGAAAGAGATAGAAGAAGAGGAAGAAAAATCTAAAATATTTTTGTTGCCTCACTAAATTTATGAAGAATGGCCGGGGCCGGCAATTGATGCTACACGATGACGAATAGAATTTTGTTCGAATTAATTCAAATAATGAACTTGATCATGAAGATCGCGGTGATGAAGATCATGATCATCACTTTCATCATTGGCATCGTCATTTTCGTTCTCTTGACAATCAAAATAAAAATAACAAAACAAACGACGACATTTCATTAACAGCAATTGGTCAGGCAATAGAGACGACCCTCCCACAACACTGTGCTCCATCATCATTAGATAAATGATTCTTGTTATTGTTGTTGTTGTTTTGTTCTTTTCAATTCTCCATTAATTGATTATTTTATGTAGATCTGGCTCAATTGCCAGTGCTTATAATTGCAATTAAGGTTATAAAATCTTGTGGCGATTTTCAATGTACAATTTCAATTTGTACACTGAGCGGTTTCAGTTTTCAGTCTAGGAGATTTTCTTATCTTTTTAAGTAGTCGCTAACAACTGAACAGCAATTAGTTGAGTTAATTATAGACGAAGGAGGTTGTTTGGCATTTCCGACAACAAAAGTTGAGAATATGCAAATTAAAAAATTTAAATAAGTAATTTTAGTTTCCAATATTGATTGGAGTTTGGATTATTGATTGGTATGTAGTACGTGGTCAGGGTGTTGCATGTTCCTATCGAACATTTTATTGCACGAGAGGGAGAAGGTCTATAGAACAATAAAATTAAGGTATTTTTGTTTTCTATTAGTAGAACCGATTAGTACTCTGGTCGTTGGAGATCTTCTATGGTAAGAAAGTATATGTCTCCTATAGAAAGACCTTGTGGGACTTCTAGATGAAAGCCCTATGAAAATAATATGGACTCATTTCCTAGTTCCTTTATAGATTACTATTTTTGACTTCTATAAGAAGACTTCATTGATCTGCAATTGGAATACCCTGGTATCTTCTGTTGGCTTTAGAGTTCTACTGTAAAAAGTCCCAAGTGATCATATCGAATCTAAAAAAATCTTACTAGTCTTTTACCAATTTATATTCTTTCAGAATATCATGTTGGGTTTCTATCATAAGACCTTATTGGTCTTCTGTCAAAAGGAAATGTTGTCTTTCTTTAAGAAAGCTCTCTGTAAACCCTCTATAAAAAGATTGACGTTTTTTCTAAACAAAAAACTAATTGGTGAAAATTGCAATGGCTATTTTGTAAATAACCGATAAGTCTTCCATAAGAAGATCTATAAATTTTCTATAAAAAACCGACAGGCCTTCTATAAAAGACCACCTGATATTTTATAAAAAAACCAGTGAGCGTAGCTGTATAGTCGGACGGGGCCGACCATATGATACCCTATACAACTTTCACGAAAAACTAACTTTCTGTGGATCTATATTCTGAGCTTGGGCTCAGACCAACTAGAGGCCGACAATTATTACTAATGTTCAGTACAGCCCTTCTAATTACTTCTCCTGATTCCCTTCCCTTGCGTTGTGATCTTCTTATTCCCATTGGAACCTATAGATCGACTCGAAAAACACAAAAAATAAGTTTTCGGTCCACTTCATCACAATATAATTATCTGATCGTCACCGAAAATTGTAGGCATTATCATTGACTATAACTGGAACTTCATGGAACATTTTAAAGCGATCAGTGCTATATTTCCGCCCTCTAGTGTGGTAAAGGTTTACTAAATAATATCTGAATACATAAGCACCTGTAAATATTTGAGTGTAAATCCCACATCTGCGTACATATAATTGGTATCAATATAAAGGTCAACCACTGCCCTTGTATATACCAACAACATTTCGGGTCTATGTCCTTCAGGGGTAAATCTATACGCTAAAGAATACAAATTTTGTAATTTTTCACATAAAAGTCAGGGTCCATTTGACGCGCTAAATATTGACCGATCCTTATCAAAACAGGCATGCTTATTCTTTGGCCCGATCCCCTTCTCTATGTTTGGGTCATAATTGCGGCCTCTAGAGCGACCAGAAAACCCCATAAAAATTAAGTATTTGGTCCATTTCATCCCCTAGTTATTAACCGATCTTTACCAAAAACAATAGGGGTCTTCATTGGCCAGAACCCATCCTACATGCGTGAAGATTGGTCCATAACTGCGGCCTGTATCGTGTTTACAAAATATAATGGACAGACGGACGGACAGACAGACACACATGTCTAGATCGACTCAGCTAGTCGAGATATGACGATCGGTATACTTAAAGGTGGGTCTAGGACCAATATTTCGCGGCGTTACAAACTCTTGGAGCTGCACAAAGCTATAATACCCTGACAACATAGTTGTGTAGGGTATAAAAATCAGCCTCCATGAAGAAATATCCGAGCACAAACATGGTAGTTAGCAGCACCAGATTCAAGCATCTCGATATACACAAGGCCACCTGAATTTATCCTGATCAAGCGAATATCAATTTGGACCATTACCTTGGGGCAGCTTGAAGTTCGCACTCGTCTTAATGTAGCAGCAAAGGTGCGATCTAACACAATACGAAAATTCGAAGTCGACAAGCTGTAAACACAGAAAACGATCAGAAGTTATGTTACTGAGGCGAAAAACGCAACGTGCAAGAGAGAATTATCTGGTGAAATGGTGAGCGGAGTATTCTCAAAAGAAAGAACCCGCTAGCAATGTGGACTAGTTCGGCACCGTATACTCGTCGATTCTTAGGGTTACAGTAACTAGTTCCACTTAAGACCCCTCACAGTGCAAACAACTGTAAACTTTAACATGGGGATGTCATACGAGGTAACCAATTGACTCCTTTTGCATTACCTGTAGATGGTACTGTACTAGTTCCAGGTTTACAGTCATATACCAGAGACAAAAGACTAACCCCTACCTAGTTCCAAGTATACAGCCATATACTAGTGTCAGCAGACTACCCCCTATCTAGTTCTATGTATACAATCATGTACTAGTGTCAATTGACTATCCCCTATCTAGTATAAGCAGACCGATTCTAAACTAGTTTCCAATGAACTAGTTCAGTACCAATTATTGTTAGTGAAATGATTATTTTTAGTTTTAATACATTTTTTATTTGAAACATAAATGAATACAAATATACGTTACTCTATAAAAACACAAATAAATTAAATTCAATATATATACATATAAATACATATATATAAACTTAACACAAAAAATTGGCACATGTTTATCTGATTCTTAAAACTATATTTACATAGTTAATATAAAAACAAAACAAATTCAATATTTATAAAATAAAGTTAATGGTAATATTTTATTAACTATTCTGCTTTTCTCTCAGCACTCACTTGTTTAAAAAATCGTTTCTTTTGTACTTGTATTGCTTTTCGCAGTTGCGTTTCAGGGGTGTCTGAATTTTCTTGAACTGGTATTGAATCTGCAAAAAAATAATGTTTAATGTATACAATTATGTAGAATATAGTAATATTTTTTTATATACCTTACCTAAAATTACGTTATATATATTGCTTAAGGACTTCAAACTTTTTTTTTCCATGATTTCCGTCAATATTATATTCGTAAGTAATTTTTAAACCTATAATATTTTTTAATGATTTCAATATTCCCTCTCTTTTTATAATGGATGATATAATCTTAACCTGAAAATTAACAAAATATTTGTATATAATCTGTCTTCACTAAGAAAAGAATTTAAAAATACTTACATATAGATCTTTATTCTCACTTGTGATGTCGTTATTAATATCAATAAGATCTTTCTCAGTGCTGATGGGAAACCTATTCGTTAAAGGTATCTCATCACTTTGAGATCGAAGTAATTTTTGCACCATCACCTTCAATTCAGCTAATGCATCAGCTAAAACCTTGATCTGACCTATAGTGAAAACAAAGAAACAAATTAACAATTTGCAACAATTCTAAGAAAAATGACATAATTTTACCTTGAATTACTTTTTGAGTATTTTCCACATTTTCCATCTTTTTAACAAAAGTTTCGCAATTGCACTTATGATTGAGACCATCTGCAAAATAGAAAAATAATAATAGTGAATTAATTAGGAAATTATTTAAGATTATTAATTACTTACCATTGTTTATAATTGAACTGAAACGTTTAATTTTTCTGGGTGTTTCTTCCATTTTAAAATAAAAACTAAAAAAAACTAAAGAAAATGAATTTCATGTATATAATAACAAAAAATTAATTTAACAATCCAATTAATAAAAAGAAAAGGAGTTGCATGAACTGACAATGAAATTTCAAAGGCAGGTGTGCAATAAAGGCAGTATAACTAGTTTGCTATTGTAGGGTAAAACTACTAGTTTACACTCTAAATCGGTTATGGAAAAGAGTTCTTCGCGGCACGATGGCTCTGAGTCCACTACGCTTATACCCAAGTCTAATGAATCACAGGGTTCGTTAAAAAAACTTTGTGGATTTGTGTACCTGCGACCCAATAAAAACCCCTCTTGGCAATCGCGGAACGTTACAATCTGTATAGGAATAGAAGATCTTATGTAGGCGGCATTGTTTAGAGTACAATTTTTAAATATGTATTTATTATTTTCTACATTTAGAATTGGAGTACTATTTCCTGAATTTAGTTCAAATGTTTCTTCTACAGAATACCTATAAATTTGTTCTAAAATGTTCCTCGGACTTTTTATATATTTCTTTAATTTTTGAAGGTAGTTCTCGAAAGGATAAGATGATCCACTTGTAGGATCTCCAACTATATTAATAGACTTTTCCAAATGTAGCAAGGAATGTACATTATATGAAATACTATTTTCACCAAATACTATAGCAAAGTTTTCAACAAATATATTAAGCATATTTTGAGCAGTTTCCAGATTTATCGGTCTTTGTTTTGGACAACAAATTATTCTATACGAACAATGTAATAATAAAAAAATATAATACACATCTTCGTGTACGACATTCTTTAAGACAATAATTCCGTTATATAAAATAAATTGCCGAAATTCAGTTGCCTTCCAATTCGATAATTCGTCCAATGATCTGGGTTTACGACAGAACTCTTTAATGCTATATTTTCGAATATTAGACAAGGACTCGGATATGTTCGAAATGGCTTCCTTGGAAATTTTAATATTACTTTTATTATTTATAAGTCTTATAAGGAATTTTCTCACAACACCTAAATCTATTAGGTGCATAACATCTAATATAACTTGTGTAACCATTTTTACACCAATACTCTCAAGAGGGGAATTTCTTGAAAGGTATTTTGTTTGGTGAAAGTTTGTATATTTTCTAGAAGCGAAATCTTCATCACTGATTATAACATCGCATATTGAGCTGTATGTTAATGTCCCGTTTATTTTTTTTCCAACCTGTGTACATTTTGCACAACCGTATCGTGATGTATGAGACGGGACACCGGTTATAAAAGCTCTTGCAGGAGCATCACAAATTATAGCACGAATATTTATAGTGTATGTGAGACCTCCAATTTCTAGACCATATTCTGTAGAATGTGCCATTTCTTCTTGAAATTGACGTAAATATGTGTCCAGGTCTTGTGGTTTAGTTTTGCCTAAAAAAACTCCAACCGGTAAAACATAACATTTAGGTGTATTTGTAGTTTTAACTAAGATCGGCCAAATTTGAGTTTTTGAGCTTTTAAAAAGTGGAAGCCCGTCTATATTCACATCAATGGTTATATTTTGAGGCAAAGAAATACAATTAGAAAGTTTTAAAAGCTGTGATCTAACCCCGATATGAATATAAGTTCCACCTGCAATACTTTCTATTAAAGGCCTTGATGGACAATAAAAATTAGGGTTGAAAGAGATACTAACACCTTCTTCTCTTAAAATTGAAACTAGATCTTGCACACAATTTCTAGACGGTCTGTGTTTTTTAAACCATTGCTCAAATTTTAAATTTAATTGCCCGGCTTGGTTAAAGTCTTCTTCTTCCACTAAAATATGTAGAGATATTGGTCTGATATTTTCTGAAGGTTCCTCAATAGAATAATTATGTGGGGTTACCTCTGAGACAACATTATCAATTTTTTTAATCAAAGATTCCTTTTCTTTCTTTACTCTACGTCTAAATTGTCTTTTGCTACTCATTCTTACCTTTTTATTTGTTATTTTAATCACTTTATATTAACACAATTTTCACAATGCAACTTCACTTTACAACGATCAAAATAAGAATGATTTTTTCCAAACAAAACGCACGTGCATTCCTCAAGAATAACTGTTCATTGTTTTTTGTTGATCATCTAAACAAAAAACTATTCAAAGTGATTCTTGTTCGTAGAGATCTCATTCAAATGTTCGTTTAACTTGTCTGTTGGTTGGTTTTTTGGTGGTGGTTTTTTATTTATGCACAACTGTCGCCTCTTCGTTTACTTGGGGACGAAAAGGTGTCAATTGGTTCCATTCGCATTACTTGGGGACACATTTGGTACTAGTACGGCTTATAACTAGTACAAGACTGACGAAATTTAGTTAATTGGAATTTTCATTGCTAGCGGGAAGTAAGAATAAGAAAAACGTGAGCGTGACCAAATCGAGATGTACAGGAGTCAGAACGAAGTCCGAGTAAAAAACCAAACCGAAGGATTTGGTGCTGGCACATTCTTCTGTAGAGATGAAGAATGAAACCAGGTGACAGATGAGAAGGAGCATTTGGCAAAGAATCTGGTAGCAAATAGTAAAGGTGAAGAAGGTACCCTAAAACCAATAGAATATGACGGTATAGATTGTACACCACATAGCGAAGATGAAATGAAGAAGGAAACCTAATGACAGAAGGAACATTTTGCAAAGCTTCTGGTATCAAATAGTAGTGGTGAAGACACCCCAGAGATGACGGTACAGATTGTATACCACCTAGCCAAGACGAGGTCAGAATAGCAATTTTCAAGGCCGGTGATCAGACGCTGATCAGGAGCATGCACCAACTGATTAGAACAATTTGGCTAGAGGAATACATGCCCAATGATTGGAACCTCAGTATCCGGTGCCCCGTGAACAGAAAATGAAACAAGACGATATGTGCCATCTATTGAGGAAATATGATATATTGGACCATACCAATGCGGCTTCAGACCTGACAAATCCACCATAGACCAGATTTTCTCACTGCGTCAAATCCTGGAAAAGACCCACGAACAATACATTGACACATTCCACCTATTCATCGACTTCAAAGCTGCATTCGACAGACCAATCCGCTCAGAAGTATTTAAAACCATGTCTTCGTTTGGCATTCCTACAAAATTAATACGGCTATGCAGACAAGACGATATGTGCCAACTATAGAGGAAATAGTCTCCTTCCCATCGCATATAAAGTGCTATACAGCGTGATGTGTGAACGACTGTAGGCAATGGCCAATGATATTGTTAGACCATAGCAATGTGGCTTAAGACCTGGCAAATCCACTATAGACCAGATTTTCACACTGCGCAAAATCCTGGAAAAGACTTACGAAAAATACATCGACACATTCCACCTATTCATCATTCATATTCATTCAACGCTGCATCCGACAGCCAAATCCACTCAAAGGTATTTAAAGTCACATTTGCGTTTGGCATTACTTCAAAATTAATACGACTATACAGGATAACTTTAACCGGCGCAAGATCAGCATTTGAAGTCGGAAAGGACCTTTCAGAGCCCTTCAGTAACAAACGAGGTATTGAAGAGCTGCTGGTCTTCTATGAGAAGACCTACTGTTATTCCATAATAACACATACTCGTCTTCCATATGAATAAGTCCTACAGTTACAGAAGGCCTACAGGTCTTCTATAAGAAGAACATCTAGTATTCCATGAGAAGACCTTTTGGTCTTCAATGAGAAGAATTTCTGGTCTTCTATGAGAAGAACTTCTGGTCTTCTATATGAAGACCATTTTAGTCCCATTTAATGGTAAAGGCACTGATGTTGCAATATCCAGTAATAACTCCTGTCATTACTCTAATTTCAGCTTTGCTCAGGTTCAATATGGAGTTTGTCTTTTGGGTTGACAGAATCGGCTAGATAGATCTTGACACATTGCACCTAGGTTCGTTGTGTCAATGTTCATTGGCTCGTTCGTCAAAGAATGCCTCAAAATTCCGGAAAAGGTGACAAATGGGTGGTTTGATTGAGTCACACAAAGATTGTCACAGGTTCAAGGGCTCTGCATCCAGACTTTTTATCAATTAAGCTATCTTCCAAATCGCAAAAATTTTAGCATAGAAAATACTACAGTTGCTATCCAACTTGTAGGTAAGCTCAAGGCATAGTCTTTCACAGTAAACATCAGACTTTTTTCATTTTGGGTCCGTCTGTATAAAAAGCCAGACCGTCCAGAGGAGGGTTACTACAGTTCCAGTCGTCTCTACTGGGGATAACCACATCCACAACGTCAAATATAAGGTCTGGTGATTTATAGTATTCGCCAAATGCTCGTTCAGGATACATCCATGCCCATAGGTACAATTTCGTTAAAGATTCTGTTCATGCAGCCTAAGGGCACTACATGCCGCCTGACACTTAATGCTGAGACCCAGAGGCCTTAAGTTCAGCATTGCGTACACCTCAGCTTTTTGGCTTAAAATCGGGCTTTGAGACAGATTTCTTCACACGTCGATCACTCTTATGGGTGTCAGTTAGTTTCGGGGAGTACTCAACGGCCTTTTCCATTACCTTTTCACTAGGGTTAGGCTTCGGATTAGATGTCGGCTCCACACCTTTGAAGTGGGCTTCGCCGACTCTTCTATTTCTTTCTTCACACGTCGATCACTCTTATGGGTGTCAGTTAGTTTCGGGGAGTACTCAACGGCCTTTTCCATTACCTTTTCACTAGGGTTAGGTTTCGGATTAGATGTCGGCTTTGAAGTGGGCTTCTCCGACTCTTCTATTTAGCTGTTTTTACGGAATCACATTAGAGGTTATTGGTTTCTTTCGAATTTCCTTACAAATTTCATCTTACCCTTGATGAGACAAACCACCCTCGCAAGTTCGTAGGCCGAGATGCGAACTTACATCTCGGCCTACGAACTTGCGATCATATGAAACATCACATTTATAGTGCTTCGCATCAGATGCTTCTCGGGCAGTCCCGACCTTTGAGGCACTGACCGTTGTCGGGGTAATTTTAAAG